CCACCCCGAGAGCTCAACCGAAATAAATTTATTTCATAAGTTTAATCATTGTTGGTAAGATTTTTATTCGTGATGATATTTCCGTACGATCACGGAATTTAAGCAACGTCGAGCCTGGAATCTGTAGATGGGTAACAGCTTGTTTGTAAAAAAGATTTAATGTGCGGGTGGTGTAATAGATAACGGCTTGGAAGAGGAACTCGGAAAGAAGAGTTTCAATTTCAGGCGGATTTGCTATATTCACTGATGCCAAATAATCATGTGAAAGGTATGGATCCACCTCTTCTACTCCCAGCAATGGGTTAATTGTTTCAGTAAATCATCATTATCTTAAAAATAGTTCTCAGATCTAAAATATAGTTTTTAAATAAGCTGTAAAAAGATTGACAAGCCGTAAACAAGAATAGAAATCCTTCAAAAAAGAAAGAATAAATAGTAGTTCCCAGGGAATAAAAAATAAATGTGATTAATGATCGTACAGGCCTTCAAGGAATATGGACTTTTAAAAATATATTTATAATTCGGTGTGACAAGATTCCGTATTATCAGTTACTTTTAATTTATTCCCACTCTCCTGCCACGTGTAATTGTAGGTTTTAAAAATATATTGATCAGGATCTCCATGAAATATTACCAGTTCTTGTTAAATTGTATAAAACTGAGAATAGCCTTCGTCTTTCTTAATTAAAAAAAAATGATTGTTTTTCTTTCTTTCCGTGGAGTTGCTTTTGTTTGTAATTTAAAAAGAAACAAAAAGATTTTCCCCATCGCCTCGGCCGTCATCCATCTTCCAACCAGCAATCAAAACGTAACACAAATCCTTTTAAAAGGTATGAATAGAATAAAATATAAGGAAAAGACAAGAAAAAAAAGCCTTAACGCTATTGATTCGGAGAAAACATATTAAAAATCAATTCAGGCGGAAGAATTACTTATTTTCGGCTAAATAAATTAATTTCCGGTTGGAATCCGATGATGAGCGTTTGTACGGGAAACCCGTTGCCGCTATGGCAGACAGGAAGAACAAAAAATATTTTGAATTAAAATGAACTGATTTAGACTCATAGAAATTATTCCAATCAGAAACACTGGCGCACAAAGGCAAAGAATTGATAGTGAATTAAGATTCTAATATAACAACAACAACAACAACAATAATAATAATAATAATAATAATAATAATAATAATAATGATGATAATAATAATAATAATAAAGACAGAAAAATAACAAAACAGTTTTGCCAAAAATATATAAAACTAACGAAAACTAAAATTGGCGTAGTAATTTTATTTTTGTGTCGTGCTTTCTCTAGAAAATGATATTAACGTTTTTGATTTGAATAAGCATTGGGATTAGAAAAAACATATTTAGCCACATGAAAGGAATTTTTCTGATTCTCGTATTTCTATACTGAATTGATCGGAAGAAAACGTTTTAAAGCCAGCTCAGTTATTCTGTGACGTCATTCAGCACAGAGTCTTATTATAATTAGTTCGGTCATCCTGTACACCATCTGTGAGGATTTTGTACGTAAATTAATGCTTCGTTTTGTGGGCATTTCATCATCTTAGTTAAGGTCAAAAGAAAGTGTTATATAATGAGGAAAGTACCATTCTTTACCAAGTGTTCCACGAAGAATCACTTGAGACAAACAGAAGCTATGATCTAGGATTGGAAAATAAATATGACTGCACTGTTGTATAATGTCTATCTTTAAATAAATAAATTAGGATAAAAAGAATGTTGACGTTATGTTGTCCTCAACTATTCCGGGAAAATCTCGAGTTTTTTTATACTAACTGTAGTCTATTTTAAATCTCATATTATTACCCATCGATTTTCTACCGGTGGTGCTTTAGCCCCGGCCCCGACCCCACCCCAAGTGACACTTCCAACCACTTTGCGGAGTTGGTGAGAGACTTTAATCTTTACAGCGAGATGATTGTAAGGCATTTTTTTCTCAAAGAATTACAAGAACTACAGTTTTATTGTCGGTGGCTGTAACAATAGCAACATAATCTACGCAAATTACACTTTATTGACGATAGTTTCACTGTGAAAAGTTAATGACCTATTAAAAAAATTAGTCAAAGAAAGGAGGTTTAATGGCAAAAAGGGTCGCTGACAGTGTGCGTTCCACATTGGGGGACGGGGGCTATCAAAAGAAGGCAGAAAGAAACCGAAAGATAATCTTCAAGAATTAAACATTATATGTTATGATGTTGTTGTCTAGGTTTATGTAGAACGTCGTGGATTGGACATCCAGGGAATTTCAGAAAATGTCTACTTCTCTAAATATTTGCTTTTCGGAATGCCACAAGAATATGTCATTTAATCTCATTTTTTTTTTTTTTTGATCATGAATTATATTTTATCTACAATTGTTCGAGGGGATAAGTGATGAACTGTTAAATGTTACTCTCCTATATACAGTGGAATCCCTCATATCCGGAATCCCTCATATCCGGAATACCTCATATCCGGAATACCTCATATCCGGAATACCTCATATCCGTAATACCTCATATCCGGAATACCTCATATACAATACATGATTTTCATGTGTGTATTTGAAATATTTTGGTGATATTTAAAATTTCTGTTTTTCAGGAAATTTACTTTGGATATTTGCTTATTTTCATCCTAATGGTTTGTATTGGTGCAAAAGATGATGGGAATAAGAGGAAAAAGCTAACATCGAGACACATCTCCAAGATAGCGTCGAGATGCGTGATTGGGATGAAATCTGAACTGAAATTGAAAAAGCTATTGAAACGGTTGTCAGTTTTATGGAAAGAAAGCCAGCATTACAAAATTGTCTCTTCCAGATGCTGATGTCATTGCAGAATATACCATGGGTACAAGAAGTCACAGAGGGATTCAAAATCTAGTACAGTATAATTAAATGTTACTCTCCTATATACAGTATAATCCCTCATATCCGGAATCCCTCATATCCTGAATGCCTCATATCCGGAGATGATTTTGATGTGTATATCTGAACCATTTGGGTGATATGTAAATGATTTGAAATTTCTGTTTTTCAGGAAATTTACTTTGGATGACTGTTTATGCTTATTTCACTCTAATGGCTTGCATTGGTGCAAAAGATGATGGGAATAAGAGGAAAAGAACAACTTTACAGTTATCACAAAAAGTGGAAAATTTAAACAGACTAAACACGGGTGAAAGTTCATTGTAACTAATGGCTGAGTTCAACATAGGAAAGTCAACATTGTATGATATAAAATCTTCCAAAGAAACTATTCTACAGCATTCACACTGTCACAATGAAGAAAGGAAATATAAACATGACTGTGATAAAATCTGAACTGAAAATGAAAAATCTATTGAAAAGGTTGTCAGTTTTATGGAAAGAAAGCCAGCATTCAGCTATGACAGTTACAATAACGCATGCAGAGTTAAAAAGAGTCTTTCGTTTAAAAAAAAAATTAAGAACAAAAGTAAAACAAAACGCAGAAAAAGTTGACAATGACATTAGAAGAGAAAGAATCATTATGCAACAGCGATTAAAAAATCCACGTTACATTATTTGTTTTGCATACGTGGCATACTTAATTTAATGAATTTCCCTTAACATTACATAATGTATTTCTTTTTCCTTAAAATCAATTCCGTTATATTTCACTCGATAATAGTTTATTTTGTTTACTATAAAACATAAAAAATAAATGTTAAACCTGATTTCAGTTCTTTTATTTTAATCTAAATATCAGTTCCGGACTTAGTAACCAATTATCCATATCAGGAAGGCCTTCTTACTCCAGTTGTCAGGGTTTCTACTGTATTAGTAAATGCTTGCTAATTTAATAAGAAAGAAACATTTGAATTGATCATCTGTTGCTCTCCTGAAAAATAGAGAAGAGTATATGCAAAAATTGATGATGTTTTTGTAACATTAAATTTAAAATTTTATATTTAAATGCATCCAATACGAGTCTGGAGAGCCACTCAAGGTAGTGTTGATGTTAGAATACATGAATGAGATGTGTCATATGAATTGAAGAGGAGATGGTAGGAAGTTAATATTATTACTATATGGAGGAGACATAACTATTGACCGTTAACTTCAAGAGGTTAAGATTATAACTATTTAAACTATTTACATTGTTCGGACTCTCGTCTTCATGTTTATTGTCACATACACAACGTTTCGGTCGTTGGAAATACCGGCCCTCTTCAGGTGATATTTCTTTGAATTTAGAAACGAACCCTTTATTTTTCTCCATGTAGGTAGATTATTCAAAACATGCATTTGAGCATCTCAGTTTCAGATAATACGCCTAGATAACACTCTAAGTTTTTGTTCTCTCTGCTGATACGAGGGATTGAACTTACCATACCTCATCTCAGAAATATGAACAGATGTTAAGTTTATAATGTTCAGGAAAATATCCACGAAGTATAGTCGTTCTTATAATGTCAAAGTTTGTATAATGTAGCAATTCTTATAATGAAGCAATTCTATAATGTAACAGATCTTATAGTATAGCAGTTTTATAATGCAGCAGTTCTTATAATATAGCAGTTCTTACAATGTAGCAGTTTTATGATATAACAGTTCTTATGTGGTAGCTGTTTCATAATCGGGCAGTTCTTATAATGTAGTAGTTATATAATTTATCACTTCTCATATTCTAGCAGTGCTTATAATGTAGCCGTTCTATAATGCAGTAGTTATTGAAAAAAGCTGTTCTTACATTTGGAATACAAACAAAATAATGGTCATTCTACTCAGCGTATGTAACATGACATGTCCTTGTAAGTATCTGAACTGCTGGAACTGAGGAACAGGCCTCATCTGAATTTTTTCAGTAGAAATAGCGATGGGCTTACTATACTGCGTCTCTGCAGAATAGTCTTCCCCCAAAATCCCGCGTAAAGGATTCGAACTCTATTAAGGCTGTTGTTTGAGCAGTTCTAACCCAGATATATACGCAACATTCCATTTTTGGCCAAATATAATTCCTGTAAAGAATGCGGCCATATCACATTGAAACACCTCTCCCCTACGATCACTGAAGTTAAGAAGCATCGATCCTGATCAAATCTAGATGGGTGACCTCTTGGGAATACCAGGTGTTGCAAGCTTGGATGTGACGCTGTAAGTTTGGATATTCACTTACGCGCAAACATACTAGGAAAAGGTTTAAATACACTTTTTTATTCCCCACCTATAGGTTAATTAGTAGGACTTGTATTAGTTAATCATTATTATTTTTCCCAAAATATCTTACAATCTAACATTATTTTCTGCCCTTAAATAACCTTAAAAATGTTGATAAACCGTAAAAAATCAATCTAAACTAATCTCATTTGAAGCTATATGACTCTTTGAAATACATAAGTGAAAAGGGCGAGATTTAAAATATGTTGGAATCATAATAGTGAATTATTATAAAACATGGGGACATTAACAGTCACGTGATAAATCAAACTAAGAGGAAAATATCGTTAAATGTTGTTCACAAGTTTGAGTGCAGGATTAATGGAATATATTTACAGCAAAAAGTGATCGTAAATGAACAAGATTTGGCGAAAGTCAGATGCAGTAGAAAATAACCAACACCTTTACGAGATATAAAGATTATGAAAGATTACGTTTGGAGAAATAGATATTTGCCTACCAACGTGGCCAAATACAATCTAAGATCAAGATTAATGTGGGGAACTCTCATATTTGCGAACGGGGAAAAACAAAGATTATTCCTTTGTCTCAACATTTAACTTTGGGACCCTCAAAAGCATGAGGTATTGATTCTTATACTACCATTCTGCATAAAAAAATGTACTAGCGGCGCACGACACGGGGCAATGATCTACAGCTGTTCAAAGAGGTCTTGTTATGGAATTTATAGATATTGACAAGATCGTGGAATTTGCCACCATGTTGCGGTCAATGTGAAATACTGCAGATGTAGATATCGGCAGTTACATAAATTGTTCATTTTAATTTATGGATACCAGAAGTAAAAGATATTGACCATGACTCTTTCTTTTGAAAGCAAGTGGCTCCCAGCTAATGCCGAACAACACGCCCCAGTTATTTCCAGTGACAGTCAGTCAGTTAAGTACCATACCTGGGCAATCATGTCTCTTTTTGATTTATGACTGACAAAGCAGACATGTTTTCTGCAGTAGGTTGCCGTTTCCTTCTGCGGAAGACTGGTTGCCAACCAAGGCTATAGGACCCAATCTGTTATTTAATCCATAGCTAGGAGGAAAAAGATAGATTCATACGTTTCTCAAGTGTATTTGCGCGTAAGTGAATGAAACGAAGACGGTTGGAAATCGAACTGGACTCTCCGAGGTCTCAACCCGAACCGATATTCCATTAGAACACAAGCAGATGTTAAATTTTTTTTTTCCAGACATGCTTACGTGAAGAACCCTATAAGGAGAAAAACACTTTTCACGCTTTGGGTATGCTTAAAAAGAAAATAAAAAATTGGAGCACGCGTGCTGCCGATGGGAAGTGGCTAGCACTTTCAGTGAGAGCTGACATCGAAAAGGGACGCTAAATTTAACAAATCCATGCAGTAGACGGACTGGTGCAGACAGTACAACTCACTCACTCACTAATTCGCCAGCAGAGTAGGTTCAAATGTTTCTTCATTATTTACAGATTCTTAAAAACATTTCTGCAAAGTTTCTCTCCACGAAGGATGTATCTCAGAGAAAAAATATTTACATATTGTTTTCTTTCACTCTTTTGTTTGTTTATTTTCTAAACACTTCTACTTTTTGTTCAACATACAACCCATGGCCTAGGAAAAACGACAACTTTTCAGAGGTATTTTCCAAAGCGGTTTAGAATGTGCCACGAGATCTAGGTTAATGTTGTGTTCTGCAAGCATACGCGCAGGCAATTTCAGAAATTGTCCAGTTCCGTTAGGTAGCATTTATTAACCGTGAGTGTGACCAACATTATCAGGGATCACCTTGCCCTTTGAGGATAGATAAACATTGACTTTGAGTTTTTGAGGTTAGGATTGTAGTTTTCAGGTACATATCCACTCGAGAATCTGTTCCATACTATTATAGTTGTTAAGGAAAATAAAACTGTCGGAGAACATCTCGAATACAGGCTAGGTGCTCCATGGTAATGTCAATACGGGCCAATAATTTAAAGCATTTCAAAGAGTTTTTACAAAGGAAATTATCCACATCCCCAGGATTTTAGAATGTGGGACGAGGTTGTGATTAATGTTGGCTTCCGCAAGCGGGCACATAGGTAACTTCAGACGCTATCCAGTCCCTTCGACACGGCACCGTAGAAACGCTAAGATCAACGGGGTTGACACGTGCTCATCCTCTTTGCCTCTTTGAGCGTAATGTTGGCCGCTGTCAATGAAGGTCAAACAATATGGGCCAATGATTTACAGCTCTTCCGAGAATTTTAAATTATGAAAAGAAAAACCCTCATAAGGCGTGTTTTTTTTTTCTTTCTTTCAAATTATACAAAAATTGCCAACAATAAAATGCACAAAGAATTTAAGACGGCACAGAGCAAATTCATCGCTAATATAATTAATTCAATCTTTCGAAGAATTCTAAAGTTTTCCCCTTTACAAAGGTTAATTTCAAGTTGCCATTTTCTCTCTCTTCGTTTTATCTTTCGATATATTTACATATATACCGGGTGTAACAGTAAAATTGTCCAAAACGTGTATCAGCAAAATTGGCCAATTATTAGATTAAGCTCTGAAACGTTGTATCTTAGAAATGATAAAAGATATCTTACTGGAATTCTCTGAAGATTTTATAACACTGTTGGACTCTGCTTTGAGCGATAAGAATATATACTTTCTAAGCTTAACAGTTGTATCATGATGAAATCGATCATGTACGAAAATGATATGTTCATCATTATTTAATTATAGCTAAGGATCGGAAGCTCATGAAAGACAGACAGTTCAAATATATATATATATATATATATATATATATATATATATATATATATATATATTATTACAGGAGAGATAAAAGCTCGAAAATTCGACGGTAAGGTCAGTCAACTCCCCGACGGAGCATTGAGAGTTCATGATATATTTTATGCAATCCTTTGATAGGTTTACTCATAAATTCCTTCTTGCTAAAATTCTGTCAAATCCCTTCTATGTCAGTTTACAGCTAACATTTCGCTATCTTGGAATAGCATAAAATAACTCCCGAAAGCTAAGCAAAGTAATAAGAAACAGGAAAATTTAGTAACAAAAAGAGCGATGAACTGTGATTTGATATATGATAGTGAATATTGAACAATTTCGCGTATACAAAATAGACTTAACGCCACAGAGATGTGTTCTGCAGGAGGATGCTGAGAATAACATGTGCACAGCATGTAAGTAACGACGAAGATTTTAGGGAAATGGAAGCAAAAACTTACAATCAGAAGGAGAGGGTTGGAATTTCTAAGATACATAATGAGGAAAGGCAGCTTGGATTATGTGTCACTCACAGGACATAGTAACGACAAGAGGGAGAGATAGGGAAACAGCGAGTTATCTACATAACAAGGTTGTTTAAATGGATGACAGAACACTGTTTGGGAGATGGAAAGACAAAACACAGTAAAAGCGACAAAAGCTAGAATGTTGTGGAGAGCCATGACCGCACACGTTCTAAAGGAACCCAGCACACTGAAGAAGAAGAAAAAGAAGAGGAGGACTGAATGTGCCATACTGAAATCCGAAGACTTAATGGGGTGGCCAAAAATGCATTCAAAAAGCAAAGCAGAGTATAAAGAGACAGAAAATATTCGTTAGGAGCAAAGAAAAGAATACTGCACTGTTACATAATATTTGTCCTGCATGGCAGCGAATGATGGACAATCTCCTCAAAGATGAAGAAGAGACTTAAAGCAACAGGATGCTCAGGATAAAATGGACCGAACATGTGAGTAACTACAAGGTTTTAAAGAAATAGAATGTAAAAGAAAAACATAATTATCATCAGGAAGAGGCAATTGAAATTTCTGGGACACATAACGAGGAAAGATGACTTGGAAAATCTGATACTCACATGACACATAGAGGGAAAGAGGGACAGAGGAAAGCAGCGCGTAGCATACTTGATAAGTTTGAGTAAATGGATGGTAAAACAGGGTTTGGCAGAAATTACAAAAAGACAAACATTATTAAGGACTACAATGGACAGGAAGATATAGAGAGCAATGATTGCTTATATCTTTTGATAAGCTTTGATTAATATTAGAAATGGAACTCAGTAATCGGGATGCGTGTTTATAAAGGGTGTTTCATTAAAACGGATTGTATATATATAAAGGTGTTTCATTCAGACGGATCAAAGTCCGCAGTAAATAAGTCCGGGTTATTGGTGAAAATTTCTTTCTTTATTGGATCATGTTATTTAAGACATGTCTGAAAAATAATATGGCCAAAATGTCTGCCAAATCTGAAAGAAAAAGAAAACAATCATTAGACGCTTAAACTTTATTCACATTTAAAATCGGTCAAAGTTATTGTAAGATGAATGGTATCCCCGGGTCACCAAGCAACAGATGGACATGAATAAGTAACTCTGTATCCAATCCCTGGAGAGGACCTATTCAGTGGTGTAGCTGCTGTCTTCAGTTTAATTCAGATGTGAAATGTAAATCAAACGTTCGTACAGATAAATATTTTGCACGTTATGAGCCACTCGCCATATTTTCAAGCCTGCGGGATTACAGTTATTTATAATCATGATGTGGAATTTGCTGATTTTATTTCAAATTTATTATTTTATACATTTGTAACGCACACCCTATTCACAATCTTCTATCTCGTCTCTTCTACTCTTCCTCAGTCCAATGTATTATGTATGTTGTGGTAGGATCCACCTAATTTGCATAGTGGAGTACCGACCATATAAATATGCCCGACTGCGACTCAGTCAACACATTCTCCAGGAACAGTCTTACCAGGAATATAGAAAAGACTATATGTAAATATTGTGTACACTTTCTTGTTTCAATACATTTTGTTCTAAGTACATTTTGTGTTGCATTATTATTCCATGCATTAGTCAAGTTTTAACAATGTATTATTCTACTCTTCATCAGTCCTATATATTATTTGTAAC